TAATTGTGCAAAGTTTTATTTAAATATTTTAGCATTTTAAAAAAGTAAATTAGAGCTAAAAAAGTGCAAAAACGCAGACAAATTTGCCTGTGTTGGTCTACATATTAAGGGATATAATTTACAACAAGATTCGCATGCAGCGAATCTTGTTGTATAATTAGATATACCAATCATATTTTTTGCGACATCAATTGAAGTAGAAAAACTATAATACTTTTCATTGTTAATATTGGTTAATAAAAACTGAAAATATTTAATCAAAACATTAATGCTTGTATCAAAAAGCTGAAATCTTTGTTGGTAACAAAAAATCTATAATATAATTCATAGCACCTTCTTATCAACATTTCAGACATTGGCCTCAGGGATATTATCAACATCAGATGCATCGAAATTTATTTTATTCTCTTCTTCACTCTCTTCCTTACTCTCTTTCTCACTCTTTTCCTCACTCTCTTCCTCACTCTCTTCCTCAGTTTCATAATTTCTATTACTTCTTATGATATCATTTTCATTGTCTTCATCAGAAAAGAATGACAAATCTTTACCAAAATAAAATGATGCTAATTTTATATTATAAAAACTTTTGGGTAACTGCTTGACAAGGAACTGAAGATTTTCAGGCCGTGAAAGAGGTATAAAATTATATGTATCTCTATCCGATGTTTCAACATCTGTTGAACTAATATCCTGATCTATTAAAGCAACTTCACTTATTATATTTGAAAACTCTTTACCGTTAGAGATATCTCCTGTCCAATATCTAACTTGGCGGTTTGATATAACATGGTTTTCCTTTACTCTAATAGGTTTTTGTTCTTGTGCTTCATGTTCTGCTTTAACTCTTGGATCTCTTTCTTGACCATTGCACATACTACAGAAACATGGCACTTTGCTATGCTTATATTTTTTTGTTTGTAATATAGCAGGTTTTTTAACAATTGCTTTACTTTTTTTGTAAGTCATAATAAAGGTATAGATGTTAAACAACAAAGCAAAGATATTGCAAAAGAGAGAATAACTATTTTAAACAACACCGCCTTAGCCTATTTATATTTAGTTTATTAAGCTTAATAGTTTGTACTTTGATACAAATATCTTTTTTCAATATGTGTATCGGATTGATGAAATTAATTAGAAGTTTATTTTTTTATTTTATTAACAGATTTTTTAGTTTCCGAATACTATTCAATATGCATATCA